GTATGCTTGGATGACTAAGTACAAAAACTCCACAATATCTTATTTAGCACACAATTTATATGATGAGAAAAGTGTAAGATAAGAAATTACTAACCTATTGCGGAACTCTAAGTCAACAGTCCCGTTTTATCCTTGTTGTTATTATTTCTATACAGTTTTATATTTGTATTCTTATTGCATAATATTATCAATGTAAATGCCCTGTTTTGATTATTACCACTGTAATGAGAAAGGTAGATGTAATACTGCTGAAAATTCCATATTTGTACCAAAAGTACTATTTGAAATGAAGCTATGATTGTTAACAACTGAAATATAGTTATGAAAATATCATGAAGTCTGTAGACTATGCTTACGATTTATTCGTACACATCAAGCATTCTTACTGAGGTCTCAAACGATTTAGAGATGTTCGAGTCTTCTTCCATCACGACATTTTTTAAGAGAAACATAAACTCCGAAAATAGAAGTTTTCTAAAACATTATTGTTTACACTTTGTTTCATGGTGATTTGAAGTGTTATACAAATAAAATTTTATAAGCGGCAAAGTTTTTGGCAAAGACTTTGACCTTCTAGGCTGACTGATTACTTCATTTCAGTGAAACAATATGCGTGTCGGTGGCACAGCGATTAGGACTCTCGCCGACCGTGCACATGAACCGGGGTTGGATCCCCAGCCGACGCACTCCTTTACCTCGCTAAGCCAGAAATAAAGCTGGTAAAGAGGAGAAGCTTGGTATGAGGCTAGCAACCCTATCCTGCAAAAATAAGCATTGCTACAGAAACTCCAGCCTCTAGCCTGAAGCCCTACGTTCCACTGGGAACGTGAAGCAATAAAAAAGGTGAAACAATAATGATGACTACACTACTCACATACTTTATCTTTTTGTTACTAATCCTTTCTCATCAGCTATCTGCTCTGAGTCCGTCTACGTCAAACACTTGTTTACCTCTAATGGAAGTGAATAAAATGGCTGTTCAATGTTTATATCAGGTCTCTTTGATGGTTAAACACCACTAATTAATTACTGCGAATTTACCTGAGTACTTTGGCAAGTATATATGCAAATATATGCAGCTGGTTCCCATTTATTGTCAATTATTGATAGATCAAAAAGAAATAGGTTTGCAGCCTAAACTGTTATGTCACATCGCTTAAAACTCTTTCTTGCTTTGTACTACTGTTACTACCACTACTATTAGCTTCAGTAATACTATTGCAATGGACTGGCAGTCAAAACATGAATATGTATATAACTTTGAAGAAAAATTATTTTTGCATAGAACTTGAAATAATAAATAAGTCCTTTTTCATGATCGATTGTACCATACTATGAAATACTAAAATATTTCCAACTATAAATAATTATCGAAAGATAGTTGATGCCTAGGCAAGGAAAGAGATGTGTCATAAATCATACAGTCAAAATATATACGAAAATTAATACCGTTTGTTGCTTTAGAAGCATCTGTCTTAAAAGTAGTGCATCTTCAATAACTGATTGCTGAGTAGAAAGTAGTAAAGAAAGTCATATGCTCTATAATCTAATGTTTACACATTATTATATTTTGTTGTTGTGTTGTCATCAAGGCAACACACTGGACGATATTCTGTGCCTAAAAACCAAAAACAGGAAATGTCAAAATTCACTGTTTCGCTTTTCGAGAATAAGTGATATTGAATTATGTATAGCCTTGGAGAAACTGAACCACTACTCCAATTTCGAAATGACTGCAAATATGATAGACTGAAGGCCCACTGACGATTACTTTCAAATGAAGAATATCTATCATTCAGTGGTCATCAAAAAAAATGAAATATTATTCTCATCTTTAAGATAAAAGCCGAAATCGGCCCATTAACTAACTCAACTAGCTTGACATTCTGTCAAAGATAATTGAATATGTATCTGATAATTTAGTTTGTTTTAACAGAAACTGGTTATCTATTAATAGGCATTCTTAAATGTGAAGTTTAATTACTCCTCTACTCTCTTTCAGGACTGATAAGAAATTCAGCTGTTGCAGTAGATATACAACTTAATTAATGGAAAATTAGGATTGTTTTTTATTCTGAGCGGCAATCTTAAAGTTGTGCCGAAATAATAGCTCATAAGAAAATGTCAAATTTTGGCTTACATGAGATTTCTGTCGAAAGCTTTTGTGTCGTTAGATGTCACAGACATGAGTGAGCTCAACTGGGAAATGTTGACTGTTAGATTTCTGATGAGCAAAGCAATTATCTTACCATCTGTCACAAGGTCTGTATCAACGAGAATCAAAGTTTCTTAAACTATAATGGAGTCAGTCAAGTCAGAGGTGAAAGCACTTGCTTAGTGACGATTGATGGCTGGGCTTTGTTGCCAACAGAAGAACATTGAAAGATGCAGCATTCGATGTAGACCTACTTGCTGAGCTGCACCATCCACACTGTGAAACCTAGAGTTTATGAGCTTGTAACTACTCTCTACTAGAACCGAATGGTCTTAATAGACTGTCAGCATTTGTATAAATCATATTTGTTTGCATAGAAAACTACACCCTAACTAAATTTCAGAGGCAAGCCTTAAATTTAGATTTAGCCAGCGCATCAGCATACCTTCACTGCTTAATCAGACTGCTTAGTCGCTTTCCACACAGAAAAAGTCATTATTAACTCTTTAAACATTCTAATGAAACTAAGCAATAAGTGTTTACGGCTTACTTCATATCAATATGCTAGAGTTACGGGTTTTGTGTTTCTAGACTTCTGTCACTACACATGTATGTTGTATCTGAAAGACTTTAGAAAATCACTGTAAATAGTTCTGTATGTAATAGTAGGCAGATCACATGCAGTTAGGATGCTCCTAAAACACCAATATGAGGTAGACAATTATTAATGATCAACTGACACTCACAACCTATAAGAAGAGTCTTCAGCATTTCCTACTGCAGTCATACTTGAAGATAAACACTTCATTATTCCGTCATTTGGCTCATATTCCATAGTCTATGAGTTCTAAGTTCTGTCAACCGGTTCATCATTTGTTAGACCATTAAAAAACCTGAGAAGAAGCCTAATTAAATTTCCCGTTTTCGGAAAGTACATACTGCATGGCAAATGAAAAGTTATTGTCCACAGTTGATCATCAGCTCTAATTAAGCATTTCGCTGTCCGATGTCCTGTTTCAACTAACAAACATGACTAAAGAAGAAGCAAAATAGTTTTATGTAAACATTCATTCATTTATCAAAGGTTTAAAAGATATGCAAATACGATTTCTGTGCAGATTTACACCTTTCTTTCAGGGATAAACTGAGTACCGTCACCCATCGTTCTTTTCCTTCAGAGTTTTAGTATGTGATTCAGTTGGATCATTCGCTAGTCAGTGCACAGTGCAGAATACTTTCACAATCTGAATTGTAATTCGTTACACATTTGTTTACCTTGTGTTCTCATATTCTATCTACCAGTAGATCATGATCTCCATTAGCATAACTTCCACTTTTTTCCTTTACTACTGTCTACTTTTTATTCGCTGTGGAAACATGAGTTTTGTCGACTTGTATCACCAAATATTAATTCTAGGTTCTGTGTTAATAATATCTTCCCATCATTTGATTGCTGAAGCATTTATCAGTACTCAGATATCCCCATGATTTTTAGAAATTTGTAGTTTTTCAGTTAATGATAAACCTGACACCATTATATTAATTATGATGTCATGACATCTTCAGTGCATACTTCAAACTGAAGTATGCGCTGAGGATGTCACCTAACCGGGCGATGAAAGCTTCTCAAATTAACTATCCAGCTCAGAGAACACAACCACATTAAAATGACATGACTTAGCAGCTTTATTGAGATTTCAATGTCAAAGTATGCAACACACTTTTACTTGAAAGACTGGCCATCTTAAATTTTGCAGGACGCAGAAATCTGCGACTAATTACTTAAAAAACTATTTAATGCTTTGCAAGACAGTTTTAGTTGTTACTGAGATTATTTCAAGCCTGATGAATAATATTTTCACATTTTTTACTCGTTATCTCTTAGTTTATTATCAGTATTAAACATTCTTTTACACTTTCTCAGTATCACTGCTTTGAATTTTATAATAAAAACTTGAACATGTTAATTGGAAAGATGAATAGGGAATGCTGTAAAGCTTCATGGTTTTTCTTGTAATGAAATCATTTCGCATGTCTTATCAGTTTACAAGATGTATTTTATGTCTAAAAACATTATTTCTTGGTGAAAAGTACATTGTGTATTTATTCCTACCTGTTCTGGATCTAAATACCCAACTGTTTTTCAGCAGTATAATCAGTGTACTCAAGATCCAGTGACATGAAGATTGGCGAAAAGTCAGATATTTTAAACCAACTAATAAAGTCTTATATTCATAAACTGAGGAAAATTGACACAGGTCTTAATTACGGTTACTAGTGTCTATCTGTGTACATTTAGCTGAATGATTTTCAAATGCTGTTGATTTGCTACTCAGTTCAACAAAACACGAGATTGGTGTGAGCACTGTGTAGCATACTTCGAAAATAAAAAGGTGATGACTGTCAGTAGCTACTTGATTCTGAATTGTTCTCTGACTGCAAATTAATTTCAGTCACTTATTCCCCTCAGACTTTTAAAACAATAAAATCAGAAGATAGCTTGTGAACATTCTATTTCGATTCGGTTTCAATCTTCCTCTTTCATTTTCACTCATTCTTTTCTTATTAAAAATATGAATCTGTGATATTCATAACACTATGATAACTACAGACCCAAATTATAAATCAAGTGCCTTTTTGATATTACTTTAGATCAGAGAAACACAGTGAGTTGTTGAATGTTCAGGAGAGAAGCATACAAAGATAAATAATCATATTTACCATGACCTCAAATACCATTATTCATAGTTCAGTAAAGCAGTATCATAACGAAATTACTGGGCTCTTTACGTGGTTATTGCTCTTTTAACTACCTTTATTCCAAAATGTTGAATAAAAACAAAAGTCTGTTAATATGAATTGGGAATTATTAATTCAATTAAAAACATGGAAAAAATACACAAGCTTACGAAAAAAATGACTAATTCTCACAGCTTAAAATAGTAATAATAAAAAATACAACCTTATGAAATGTTATTTGTTTGTTCTGTTATTTTTTTTTGACGTTTTGTGTTATGCGCAATGCCATCTATCAGTTACCACAAATGAGTGTTTGCGTAAGTGCGTGTGTGTGTAGCCTTGCATACTTTCAAGGTGGAATAATAATTAAAAGAGGAGATGATAGGCTCGAAGGTAAAGAAGAAACGAAAAGAGAAACAAATAGAGTTTTTAAATACTTTCACACTTTTAGAGTAAGCACAGCTTATCCACGAACCTTGAGTTTAACAATTTCTGTTCACTAAAATACCTCATAGAAGAAAGAAAATGGAAACAAAAATTTATCATGCAATCGGTTTTCACTTCATCCTCTTTTATTTGTTTAAAACTATCATACTGCCTCCCTAGTTTTACGTTCCACGTACTTCCATTAGAATACTGAATGCCTGACTCTCTTAATCAGTTAAACACACACACACATACGCACACACTCTCACATACACACAAATACATACAAGCACTGGAAAATGTGAACACACCTCATTTGAATTTTTTGTGGTTAAAAGTTATTTTCGTGTTTCTGCACACTCAGCAAATTAATCATGTCTATGTAATACTTAGAATCGAAAAGAAAACATTTGTTAACAAATGTACGATTAGTAATAGTAATAACAATCATTTTTACAGTAATAGTAGTAATAATAATAATGGTAACCAATTAAGAATTGTAGAAACAGTATAAAAACTGCTGACAAAAATAGAGGACCTCTAGACCCTCTCAGAACAAACATATTCTCTGTATGTTTATCATTGGTGTTTTCTTTTTTAGTTTTGCAAATATCTCATTCAGTACAAAAAAGTAGCCAAAGAGGAAGAAAGAACTTACGGTTGGTAATAGTAGTGGTGAGCATCAACCGATCTCTGTAGTATTAAACTAAAAATAGTAACTTTGGTATCTGTATTCAATGCATAACAAACAATAAGCTTTAGTGGAAAAAGGGGAAGATAACGTAAACAAAACAAACAGTTGATTGTACAAATTAAAAATATGTAAATTGTAAGTAAATAAAATAAAAACTTTTATTCTGTTTTGTTTTGATTTATCAGTGTATAATTTCTCTGCAAACGTTTCTTGCTGATTTCTTCTTTTTACTATTTTCAAAATTACGGAAGTTTTTTCTAATTCAGCCTATGCATTTCAGACTACAAAATCTATACGAAATTGAGCTTTCATTTTACTGATAGGCATCTGTGTCAATATTGATAAGTGTTAACGGAATTGGTTGTTCTCTGTTCATTTTCGCATCCTCCCTTTAATGAATCAATCGAGTGAGTTTTACTATGGGAATAGTTTATCGATATTCTCTGAATATTCTGTCACGCATACTAAATGAATGGAGCAAAAAGAGGCATACTAATCGATTCTAAATCGTCAATCAATGTATTTTATTGTAAAATGGATGTTATTCAGTATTTTTCCTTTAAAAAAGAACATAGGTATGTTCATAGGGAAAGAACTGTTAGTCTAATTCTGTAGCAGACATTCCTAGAGCGTACACAGACACACTTATGCCTGTTGCATTAGATGTCATTTTTAAGGTCAAATGCGTAGGCCTGATGTTAATCAATATGCATACGTGCATGCATCTCTGTACTTCTACCAGTGTGTAGAGTTAAAACTGGGGTAATATTGTTGATAAAAGATATTAGGAAGATTTGATTCTGATTTTCTCCCTTCTTTTTTGTGTTAAAAAAACCGTTGATGTGTAAGACAACTAATAACAAAAAATAGATAAGAGTTTAAAGCAAATAAATACTTAGGCTTTCATCATACGGTAAACTGACACATAGATTGAATCTAGGTTTAATAATAGTGGCAATAATTTTAATAGTAGTAGTAATAACTGGCAATATCATGACAATCTGAAGGTAAGAACATAAATGGAATAGTCAGAATGGACTTGAAAACTAACAGGGAAAAAGTAAAGCAAAATCGAAATATTTATAAAATTGGGTTAGAGGAACAAAAACAGCAATGTGCTCTGGTCTTAGAGTCATCCAGAAAGACTAGACAGCTTCAGTGTTAAGCACGCTTTCTGTGACGTCATTGGCTGTTGACGTCACGGAACTAACTAGATTAGATTCTTCACATTTTTCGCCTGTTGAGAAGTCTTTTATTGCCTCATGATGGCTAGTATCAGCACTACACATCTTAATATTATTACGAGCAGCATCTGTTTCTACTGTATTTGAAAATAAGTCGTTCTTCCCACTTGTAAACCCTTCTGTGTAATCTTCTTCTTGCAGATGACTTGTCAGTATATTATTACCCTGTGATTCATTAAGGTTGTCTTCTTCCAATAACAGATTCACCATTCTTGTTGAGAGCATGACATCGTCTAGCAGACAGTCATTCCCCTTATTGTTTTTTGATGATGGTGTACACATACTATCGTTGCAAATTATTTCGTCTAAATTTACGTTCATCTTTTGTTGTACTGGATGTTGTTCGGTGACACTAGCAGTAGGAACCGATGCTGGTAGCAGTCGTGGTATATTACTTTTAAAATCGTTGTTCATCATTTGATTACTTGAGACATTGAAAATGTCTGAGTTAATAGATGATGTATTACTATTGGTATTCCAGTTGGTGCATAATCCCAGATTGTTAAAATTAATAATACCTGACTTTAAAACCGTTCCATCACTTGTTGTGGTTGTTGTTGCTGCTGCTGTTGGTATTATGTTACTACGTTGTATCTGTTTTTCATATGATGATGAATGCCAGTAGTTCGATACAGTTTGTATATTGTGAACCTATTCATTTGAATAATGCAAAAATATTTGCTAAGTTAGTGGAAGATACAATTCGTAAATTCCTAAATTTCAAGATAAATTTTGTCATGAAATGATCTCAGCTAAAGAAGTATTACGAAAACAACACTGAGCAATATGTGAACGTTCCGTAGTTGTTTGAAATTTTGCAATTGTACACTTCCCAAATCCCGCAATGAATCAAGTCAGATATCAAAATTCGAGACAGTAATTCAGTAAATTGTGTTGATAACTTATTTTGCACGACACCTGAGGATGAATGAATTGTTAGGAGCTAATAAAAATGGACAGCTGGATTCCTAATCAATAGTTAACCCCCGAATTGATTTGAAGTTATTACTTCTCACTTTCTAACTGTCCCAGACTAGAATGAAATGAATCTGCTTCTTGGTTCACATTTAATCTATAGTTAATATCGTTTTGTAATTAAACTGATTTTTAATTTCATTAAATTTTGTAAACTTAGCAATACAATAAATATAGCGATTGTGAAGAAACTAGGTCTGTGTGCTCGTCACTCATAAAAAATTGTACGCTTACTTTAGCAACAAAAAATGGATGTACTCTATCGTTCGATTTTCATCGTCTGAAGCAGAACTGGTCTTATAAGAATGTTGACTTACTAACCTAGTTCTCAAATCGCACTGAGGAAAATTTTAAAGATTAGGAATTCATGTTTGCAGATCCACTAGAAATTGTCCAACAATTTATTTTATCTGTTGAATGGATGAATAGTATTATAACAGCAGATCAGTAACTCACGTTTTATGCACTTTTATGTAAAGGTAGTATAGGCGATACATTTCACCGCAATTACTGACTGGGAAATCTAAGCTGTCTATCAGAACTGCTATTTTTCCAGTGTAAATACTCAGATGTTTAGATTCTCAATTAAAACTTTTGATTCCTTGCCCTACAATTCAGGACTGATTAATAAGTCCTTTGTACTAATGTCCAGTAATGTTATCATTCATATTTCGATAATGTTTGACGACCAATGGTAACCTTGAACAGAGAAATATATTTTACTTTATTTATGGTATATCACTGAATAAAAGGGCCAGTAGGAATATCACTAGTTACCAGGATACATGAGAGTTGAGTCAACTACTTGTAAATAAAACAAAACATGTTTACGGCTAAAGATCAAATTTTTTATTTCCATATTCGTTGTAGAAACATCTGATGGTAAATATGGTAAATACACTGTCGAAACAGTAGGGAAATGGAACCAATGAAGTAAAATTGTAACTTGCTAGAATGGTTACTTGATCAGACTCTTCAATATGACTCATACTTCAAGAAATTCTTTAACTGCCTATCAGTTTCTTAATCTAAATAATACAGTGGTTTAGTTCATAAATTTTGTCTGCTTATGAGATTGCGTCTATTCGTCTTTGAGGCTTTGGACAATGTTTTTTAAACAGGGTCGCTTTTATTTGTTCATTTGACCACTCTCACATTTAGGGAAACGAAATCAACATTAAGGTGAGAAAGGAATACATTGACTGATGTTAAATATTTTGGTGCAGTTGTATGTGCACTACTCATTTGTTATTATACCTAAAAAGAGAGTGATCAGAGTGAAGGAAAGCTCATGAACATAGTTAAATTTAAACAAAATATCAAATGATGTGGTGTCTGTAAGTCTAGTTAACATTCTGGAAAGTAAAGAAAAGAGTTAGTCAGCCAAAGGCAGTGGCTTGGTATTCGGGTAACAATGTTAAATATATAATTCCATAGTTTTGTCACAAACGACACAACTTCTTGTTTTCTATTGTGTGATTTCCAGCAAAGTGTGATGAACAACCTACCACTAGGCAATGAACTAACAGAGGTGGAATCTCATTCCCTTGTTGACGATAAAAATAATTAGCTTACATAGGAAATCGGATGATGCGTTTAGACATAAAAATGTGTACTGCTTATAGATCAAATATAAATTACGAAATTTAATTTACTTTAATGAAGCACAAAAGGATGTGCTCCAAGTATTTTAATAACAAAATGTTAATTTTGTGGGACTTCAAACTTCTCTTCCACATAAAAACGAGGTTGAATTCAAGAGTGCAAAAATGCATTAATTTTTCTCAGTTTGATATTTGTTGAAAGAATTCTTGCTTAGAAGTACCCATCCATTAGGAAAGTGAAACGAAATGTCGATCAAAGAAGTGCTTCGGTTATATCAGAAGATTAACAGACGAATCAGTTTTACAGATTGAGGTAGGGATTTCAGTGAAGATGGTGTGTCCTGCTCCTTATCTGTGTACCAGTTAATTTTACAGAAAAGAGCTACATACATATTTTTTGAAATCTCCCAGGCAGTAAAAGTAGCATTCCCCAGCAAATAACAACTAGAAAAACATTCAGTTTTTGTCATTCCTATATAGATCTGGTTATCCTGTCTAACATTTTGATAAGCTATTTAGAAAAAAGCATAAACAAATGATTTAGATGAAATTCAAATCATGGGACTTCGCAGATGACAAGAAAATGTTTATTCCTGGAATTGTTATTCACGTGGGTTAACATCAGTGGAAGGCACAGAGCGTTTGGAAACTACTTCGAAAACATCCAGCAGTTTGTGACAAATATCTGATATGTAATTCGATCCTCAACAGTGAACAAATTAGTATTTCGTCACTTGGTAGAAATCCCGTTGAACCTTGGACATCCAGTTTCTGCATATTCTTGATATAAAGTCAAGAAGTGAGTTTCAATTAAATCTGAGGAGTATCCAAAAGCTTTCAAAATTTGGTAATGTCTTACCCACTTTTAGGTGAATTTGTAACAGCTTGTTTGTCTGAAAAAAACTGCGCATTTTGAGCTGAGAGAAGGTAATTTGAAATATGTTAGGCGTGTCTAGTATACGCACCTTTTAACTACCCATATCATATTTTCAAGGGTTCCACAGCTGTTAATCCTACATTTTATTTTAATTGAACTCTTATGGTTTGAATTTATTACGTTATTGTAAGTCATTAACTTATTCATGCAGGCATATCACATAAAGTCACTCGTAAATAGAATAAATGAAGCTATAAATCAAATTAGATGGTTGGAGACAATAGGCAGGAAGCCTTAGACCTAGGTTTCGTGCTAGTTGACACTCGTCAGCAAGGCGTTTCCGCAACCTCGATGGAACTCATGTCCCTACTAAGCTTCGAACCCATGTCACCCAGAGCTGCAGTCAAAGTCGTTACCGATGAGCTATTCGGGTTCGCGATTGACTTCCAGTAGGAATGTAGTGGATACTTTGACTGGACATTAGTAACTTGCACGAAACCTAGGTCCAAGGCTTCCTGTCGTTTTCCCCCAACCATCTAATATCATCAAATTAATGTGCACCGTGATGTCGAGCTACCTAGAATGGTGGCCATATTGCAAACCTGACTGATAGCATTCAGTCTGCACCAAATGAAGGACTAGACACATCACACTAGCTATTAGTGTCAAATTAAACTATAAATGAAAGTACAGAAGTAAAAGGATTAAAATTATTTTATAAAAGAATATTTTGTTTCAACGATTCACCCCCTCATATCCAGATTCTGATTGACAAATCGACATTTAAATATGCACTGAAGCACATAAAGTCAATTCGCTACACTTGGATTAAAGACGCAATTAGTTATGGAATCATTGTGATAATACAACGGACAAATGCGGATGTGACTAAGGCTATCTAATGAATGTGTCCTAACACAGTTACACATACTTTCAAGTTGCTCCAGATCACATAAACAAAGGGTGATTAAAATCAACAAATGAGAGGACAAATTAAGAAAAGTTCCATTATAAACTGTAGCTAAAAAGTAAGAAAGACAAGATACATAGATATCTTTTGCTGAAACTTCAGAAACAGATTATGTATGAGTATGAGCTACTGCAATAGCTTGCAGACTCCACTGACTGAAACGTTCAACTACAGGATTCAGATGTTCTCTGGATTCTGTTTAGGAAGAAAGATAGAATCGTTCATCAAACCAGTGTCATGTTTAGGTGAAGACTACAGCTGGTTTCCCATTATTCTAAATTTAATATGGTGAATATATAGCGTAAAAACTTATGGTGGCTTTATACGAGAAGCACATGTGTCAACCGCCTTCACTGAAAAAGATTTGCATATACAATACTGTATATTATAGTTAACATGGTCTTCTTTCAACTTCGATAATTAAAGTACATGAGTGGAAAATAATGTATATTTCTACGGTATATATACATATATATATACATATTTACATATGACTATTAAGAAAAGAAAGTACTAACCTCATTTAGATGAATTCTATCCAAAACACTGTTTGGACTAGTCTCTTCAGATGAATATGACAGATAATTTTCTAGATTTGACAGCGCAAAATTATTGCACATATTTCGTTGATGAAATGATGGTATAGAGTTTCCATTATCATGATGTAAATTTATATTACGGCAGTCATTGTGAGTGGATAGAGTAGATCCATTTATGGTTAAACAGTTAACTGGTTTACTTGTATTTATTTCAATATTCATAGGTAGAAAACATTGAAACGCACTTAAATTCGTCGTATTCGATGCTTCAATACGCTAAAAATGAGTTTAAAAATTAAGAGTAAACATCTAATCAGTATAAAAAGCAGTATCTACGAGCAAGTGTGAGTTCTTTTATAGTTATGAAATATTCACGGCAACATATCATATCCGCATACCATTCAGTGAATAACATAATAGTGCGATGTATTGTATTTTGATATTATGCATCAGGAGTCAAATGGATTCAGGTATGCATTGTCAGCTAAGCTGAAAGAACTCGAGTGCCTACTTGTCTGACTACTTTTGAGTTACTAGTTCGTAAGTAAATTAATAATAATCTCGCTGAACAACCCGATTTCGGACTGTGGATTGAAAAAATGTGTCCTAAAATAGTAAATATTGAAAAAATGGAGAGGATTTGTACACAAATGTAAATATCACATCCATATTGAAGATTTAGAATATTTTTAGCTTATTTCAAACAATGATGTTGTCTAACCTGATGATGACATAAAATTTACGTTTGTTTTGTGGTGAAATCAAACCAGCATCAGAACACGTTATAAAGAAATAACAGGATAGGATATTCTGTTGATGTGAAAAAGGTAGGAGAACTTCACTTATTTGATATAATACCTGTAACCATAATTATTAGTTGTGTTACGTAACTGGGTAGTAGAATCATAAAAATGGCACAAGAAACAAATTTATGGATAGAGTGGAGGGTTAAACAGTATCAGTTCTATTGACCTCATCAAACAAAGCATGGTTGTTGCTATAAAAACAAATTCACAAAAGGACTAAAGTAAGTGATGAACGGTCAAACACTTGTAAAAATAGAAAAACTTGCAGGGAAGCTCAGTAGTCCAATGACCATAGTCTACAGATAAGAAATAAGATGGAGTAGACATATGTTCAGAAAGTTCACCCTCTGACGGATGATTAAATATCTCATAATACCGAATCGACAAAATACGCGGTTTTTTCATTAAACATTCCACTAAAGCTGGTTCAAATAATTCATATGACAGACTTATTTGATAGTTTAAAATAAAAACAAAATGTAACGAATATGCTTAATAAATATAACAATCACGATGAAAACTGAATGCGTTCATTTTAAAAGTTCTTTATGGTGTTTAAAATAAATGCAACACTTACAGAATTATTGACTAAAAAGCCGTTTGCAGCAGCCGTTTCGTTTGACAAGAAACTGGTATTATTAACAGGCGCAAGACTTTGTTGTACCGTAGTTGGAGACAGAATACGAGTTGGTGTACGTTTAGTATGATTTTTTAATTTCGTCGATCCAAATTTAGTTTGAGCAAAAGTAGCAGCTGTGAAACTTGGTGTGGAAGTGGACTTTTGGACAAATGGATGAGTTGATACTGTTGTGTTGACAGGTTGTAGGTATGTTGGAAATGATTTTGGTGATGTATGTGTAAACACTGAGTTCATTGGCTGGTCGAATTTCGAGCTTAAAAGGTTTGAATTTACACAGTTTGCAGATAAAGCGATAAACTCATTAAGATGAGGGTTTGTCAGCTGTGCTGACTGAGGTGGATTAGACGATGAACGGTGAAACAGAGGGAATGTATGTGTTTTTACGTTAAAAACCACTGACTGAGTTGTTGAGGGTGTTCCTCCAATCGAATCACTATCTAACACTGATAACAAACTAGGTCCCTTCCCACCTTCCGAAAAATTCCACGGAAAACTACTTACAGCCTCTTTTTCGTCACACATTTCAGTGTGTAAACCATTTGGTGGCTTAAAATCAACTTCGTTTAGTTGAATTTTAGATAACTCCTCATGATTCCTCATAGACACATTCTCATGGCTCCAATTTGTGTGATTTGCTACTGGTAATTTAACTGCGTATGCTGCACTGGATTCTACTTTAGTATCATTTACTTCATCAGGTTCAGCCAACACACTCAAAGCAGCAGCAGTAGCCAATAAATCCCCATGATCATTTTCTGAACGTCCATGTTTTGTTGAAAAAGGATCTTGTCTATTTTCACTTTGCACACTCGTGATACTTGTTGGCCATGCATCCTGCAAGCAGTAAAGAACTTGATGTGTGGTTTGAGATGAGATTGATGTCAAGTTAGATGATGAGATCGATGAAGAAGCAGAAGAACATCCAGAAGATGATAAAGAAACCGATGATGAAGGCCAATGATTCGAAGTAAATCTATCATGAATTGAGCAATTAGTTTGGTTGTACTGGCATGCTACATGCCCAGGATCTACACTTATTATGAGACCATCTGGGAGACAGGCTTCTATTTCACTCCACTCCAATCCACTTACAGCTGCTGCTTCAGGAAGAAGAAGATCCACTTGAGGACCGACACAGTTTATGCATCGATAAGCAGAATCTCTGAGTGGGTCATTGGGGAACCAGTGGTGCTGGAATTTGGCTTGAAGGTACTTTTCTAGTTCTTCACCAAAGCTGTCAACTCGACGTCTTGGGAGTTTTGTGTACAAGTGTGATAATATATGATTGACTGTAACTGCAATTTCCACAAACATTAGCTTAAAATATTTTTTTTCTGCCACGTTAGGAATTAGTTGAAACTATCTGTATTCCAAGCAATCTAGGAGAATAATAAAAATTAATTTTTAGATGAAAATGATGACAGTCGATTTGCAATGAATTCATCTTACACGAGAGTATTCTGAATAATAAGTTATTTGCTAAATTTTTCTCTTAAATGTTAACAAATATCAATGACAAAAATTAACAAATCCAATTTAAGGCTGTTAAGCATCGAACTATGGACAGCTGATGTGAGATTGTCGATCGATTACGACATATTTAAACTTACAATTATGGGAATCATTAATAAATACTTACAATAAATAACTGAAATAAATGCTACTGATACTCTGGGATTATAAAGAATGAAATTAATACACCTACATTTCCTACTGACAATTGTTACTAGATGGGAAATTTTTCATATTATCTGTATCCTTTCAATGTCCTTCCTTAAGTTGAATGCATGGCATCTGATTGATTAGTGCGAAAATTCTCCCTAAATAAATCGAATTCTTATTGGTTAAAAATTTATGTAAATTCTAGCTTCAGTAAAAGGTCAACAATTTTGCCCATACAAGATGTGTCTTCTCACGTGTCGTATCTATTTTCTTTCAGTTGTAGGTGAAGTAACTCTACCCCCTTTTAAGTTAATGTAGGTGGGTTCTGACAGGCAATAAACAAATGTATCCCTAAATGACGTCACAGCTGTATTGACAACTGCAAACTGTCTCGTTCCTAATGTTTTATGGTCCAGATTTTGGATAAGAAAAATTGATTAGGTGGATGATGGAAACTAACTAAATAACTAGCATTGGTCCTCATAAAGACCAATCGGCTGAATACATTAAATCTCAGCAGGAGGTAGTATATCCCTGCTGATAGTCGAACCTAGAGTCTATCAAAAGAGACTTTACATTTTCATCTGAAGCTACTTTCTTGATGAAATTCATTCTTAGTATTGAAAGGTAGTCAGCTGGCTTGCAAATGCAAATTGTGGTGTTCTACGGGCGTGATGCTAAATTATCTAACAATAAACTGTAATAAAAACTATGGCGTCAACTTACACGAAACCTACCGATAATATATGGGATTGTATTGTTCGGTATATCCTACTACATTAATAACTGACTGGTCTTTAAAACAAGCAACAGTTGTGAATTTACTAGGGGAAAAATGACTGGTCTTTGATACCTGATGTTGAACAACTTTTCATCACCACACAAGTTCCTTATGATCTCCTTTGGTGTAATCAGAAATTTCTCAGTGAAATCTGTTATTCACTGTCAATTAAATTAACTTAAATTCAGTCATAACATTACTCGAGGTCAAAGTGATCTCTGCTTAAGCAACCTTAAAAGAAACACTAAGAAATTGGTTGTGTGTGTTATCGTGGCTTTCATTAGTAGCAGTTCAAAACTGAAATGACTAAACTAGATGACATACGGTTTTAAAGAACGGCCTTTTTTATCGCAGCTGAACTTCAGAATACCCGAACGGTGGGCCAAGTGCCACATTTGATTTTCTGTAACATTATAGATATCTGTACCCAAATCCGTAAAAACTAATTCAGCTGTACAAATAGTATAAAGTAAGGTACTTAGTAAATCCAATCAACTTATTAAAATTGAAAAGAGGAACTATTATTTTTACGATATTTACACTTTCTCTTAACTGTTTTTATAGGGGAAGAAAGATTTGAAACAAAGTAGTTGTGGGTCTAGACAGAGACTGCTCCACTTGCTAATTTGGTAGGAATTCGACTGATTTCCACCTGGGTTTTACCACTGGTTGGCGTCTAGTAAATCACTTATAACCAAGGAATACCAGGTTAAAAATTCGTCCTGTTTCAGGACTCCTCGTTGTCAGGTCACCAATAATAATTATATATATATATATATGCTTAGTTATTTATCAGATTCATAGTTAAATTTATTCACACTGTATATTTAAGAAGTAATAAAATTTATCACTGTCAACCTTTCTAAAGCTCGAGTATAATGATTAGATGACTTCATCACCTATTTCGATAGCTTGGACTTAATATCGAATGTATCAGTAGATCACGCGATGGGAATCATACCCTGTGGCTAAATCTCAGAAAGTGGTATAGTGTCGTTAGGTTAGTTCAAAGTGCAGAGGACTGCACTAGGTTGTTGAGTTCCATTCACTGTTTGCATTAACTGTTTTACCATGCTGAATGTATACTAAAATTTTCGGAAACTTCACTGATGTTCGGGTTGTATCAACTTTTTACAAAAATAAGGTAGAATATGTTTACTAACTTTCATTCACAAATAGTCCTTTTTGTATAAATTTTAGCGATCATTTCCCTGAATCAAGTGCTCATCTGTCAAAATTTTGATAAAATATGTCACATATGCTGAGTGTAACCACAAGCGTTTAAAACATTCTCAATGTGCTTAATGTAATCTATTTTGACAGCTGTTGTGACTCTACTTTTGATCAGTCTGAATTGTATGAGCCTACTGTGTTTAAACCAAACTATGGGATAGAAAATTCACCAAAGTGGTAGCATCGAACATAGAGCGTCAGTGTCAGATATTTAATATTTTTAAATGTCACTGAAATAATTTAAATAAGGCAAATATCATGGTTGAAGCAGAATAAGATGATGTCATTTCACTTAGTCATTTGATCATTAGCTATATACAACCTGTGAATTTTTAAACATATGTACAGGGTAATTTGTAAGACACTTGAGGCGATAGTGTGATGTCATTTAACAAAAGACTCCAAAATGATCAACAAAATGCGCCCGAAAAGTTCTCCATATTATCTTATCATCAGAAGATTTAGGTGAATGATATTCGCATAAAAATTATTTTTAAAAATCACTATATAATGGTTGCATTTAACAAATTTCTTGTTTAACTGAAACAAAGCTTTTACGTATACGCAAGCAGTAATTGTTTTGGGCATGTTATTTTCACCTGAAGTAGTAAAAGGTTAACTGTATGTACTGATATAAAGAACAGGTGATATATATATATATATATATATATATATATACATCACCTGTTCAATGAATCAACATTTCAGCTGGCATTTTTAGGTGCAATAATCAGATTTTGGTGATGAAATGAAATGGTACAACACTATCTTCTTGTAAGCACAGTGGTAAACAAATAAAATAAAACAAAATCCTGAATGATTTTTATTTATTCAGTGAATATTTTAACCAGTTAGATGGACTGATAGGTCACATGCGTTTAGAGTTGTTTTCTTCATGAACAGAAAACTTGTGAACTATTGTTCGTGTAGCTGAGTATATTTTAATCAGACTTATGATTTCTCCTTGCTAGATAAAGAATTAAATGCTAATTAACTGAAATAAAACACTACTGCAAACAGACCATATTACCAAGAAAAGTTGATTGTCTGGGCTCTGTAAATCAGCATAAGGTAAATATCACAAAATCTCTTCAAACAAATATAAAAAACAGGACAAGAACTAAGAGAATCTAACTAATTCAGGTAAAATACGACTGGGATTAAATGTAACTTGACTTTAAAAGGGTCAACAGAAGTTGATGATGTCACATTTTCTGAAGGACATTTGAGATGTTCTTATGATGAAATCAAAAAGGGTGTTACTTAAAAAATCAGTACTTATAAATATGTTATTTTGGCTTTTATTCAAGTCGTAGTTATATCATGCCACTATCCAGTCATACTTTTCAAACACTAAAATTCTTGCAGCGAAACTAAAAACCCGGTGATTAACTCCCAAAAGTTATCAGACCATGTAGTGAATTACAAACACATCTTCAGATTAAGTTATTCTAATGAGTAATAACCTGCAGTGGCGGTTATCAGTCCCGGAGCTCTGTTGACATATGATTCATACATGATTTCGTTTCCTGAATCTAGTCCGTTCTGCTTGCAGTCTTCCGTCAACGGCAACTTGCAGTCCTTACTGGATGATCAGGGTAAATATTTTGCCTAATGCAATGAACTGCAGGATTATGCGTCCTTTCTCTCATATGCTTATATCACTCTTCTTTGACAGCTGGAAAAGCTGGACTTTCTTCCTATTAGTTAGCATAATCACTTCTTTCCACCCACAGCCTCTTCAGTGGGAGCCTGAAATGAGGCCTTAGGATTTTGCTGCTTTCCCAGCACTTGGCAAATTTATGACAAGATTTCTGTCCTTGTAGAAGGGATTGAAGTTCACTGTGACTTCTGTGCCTGATGTTAGGATTTCTAGTTGAGATGCAGGCACTGGTTGGTTCAAGTCAGCCAATCAAAGCATGATTTTTATCGTCTACCACCAATTTAATGGTCGTTGTAAAATGGCTAAATAAATGTTTGTAGTCTCTAGTAATATTGGTTCGGCATAAATAGATGAAGTCATCGACTTTCCAAACAACTATCTGTGGATTTTCTCCACGGAAAAGCCACCCAAAGGATCAGTTATTTATTTTTCCTTTGTGTCAGAGAAATAATTGTTGTGAATCTAGGAGCTCCAGTACTGTCACCATGGTTAAAACACATTTTGCTGGGACTCTGAACGATCAAAAGACTTTGTCTACTCAACTCCAGATACTTGGCTTTCGGTCAGTTTTTTATCTGTACTGATCGGATCAGATTGAGGAAAATTCGGTTTTCAAAGAAAAAGGGGCCGGCTGTGCTTTCAGGTTTGACTGTATAACTTTGTACTCCCTTCATGTCATAGGTAATAAATATGTCCTTGGGCAGCCTTAACGTTTATATTCCCCCTTATCTGGTTAAGGCTGTGTTAAGAACAGCCTGGTCACGAGGCTGGGAGGACCAGGTTTAAGATTAGGAAGTTGGTGTGGGTGGGGCTTAGGGTTAGGGGGATAGATGACCATGTATCATTCGTGAGCATTGTTTCCAGCCAAAGCCAATCGGAAAATAACTTGAAGTTGTCAAAGCGGGGTAGCTAAATTGTTTTCATAGAGGGGTTAATGGCACCAAAAAGTAGCCATATGGTTCACCACCAGTACCTCAGATGATAACCCTTGCTGTACGTTGTTGTTCTCCGACTCCATTCGCTCTGATGTTTTCGCAAACTGCAACGAGCATTTTGGTGCAGCTTAGCGAAGACCCTCTTATCAGCAGCCCGCCTTTCAGAAGTCAGTGAAGTGTGCCATAAATTTCTACTGGCTTTCCTACCACTCTTCGTCACTTCTTTATTTTAAGCTCTGTAAGTTGTTTTCAATTTTTCCTATGACTGTTTGTCTCTACACTGTTCCATTTCCGCTTCACCAGGCTCCTCTCCTCTAGCATCTTTCAAGTGTCACCATAATTATATTGGTCCTGGCTACTGATTACGACCAGCCAACAGTGAGCATACCCTCAGTTCTGAAACTGAACCAGCCACTGAAAAAAATAGAAACTTTACCATCCTTATTTTACCTAC